CATTAGACTATTTAATTAAGTATAATAATATTACCATCTAACGTATAAGGTATTAAATAGGTATTCAACTGTGTTCGTAGTTCACATTTTTACATTATATTCGATTTTTACAGTCTCTTCAACTTGAAGTTCAACCACATTCCAAAGACGGACCACCCAACCTCGTGGCCTTGTTGTTTCGGGTTATATATATATTATAAGTTTATACACAAATTCCACGACGCCACCCGAACGTCCTGCAGCTGCTCGTCATTGAGGAAATATTCGGACAAGAGAGATTTCACCGTTTCCACTTTAAACCATATGCTTATATTTCTTTTGCTGGACTGAAAGCTGTTCTTCTTCTACTCCCTATACATGTATAATAATTAATATAATAATATATAGCGAGGTAGCTAGAGGCTGATATTCATATTATGTCACGTAGTTGCAAGTACTGGCAATGGATGAGGAAATAGCGCGCATGGTGGTTTTTTTAATTATAATTTTTAATTATAACTTACATGTTATAGTAAATGTATTTTAAAATACTTAAATTGAGGGGCAACATTTCAAAACTTACTACTTCCATTTTACACTTTTTTGAGAAATCACGATTTTCTATTTTTAATTACCAGTGGAAATAGTACGTTATGTATTTAACTCAACTATATGCCCTATCTTCATACTATGGGAAATTGTACAATATGGCCTACTTTGTAAATAGTACGTTTTGCGTCAATTTGACATTTGTCAATATTTAACAAAGGAAATAGGACACTTTCCTATCAGAAAAGATACTGTTGAAGAAAATCCAAGCACTTTTACTGTCCTAAAAGGTGATGACAGACACAAAAAAAATAAAAATAAAAAACACACATCATTATAAAATCTATACATTCATCGTTCCACTCAGAATTTAAAATATGTACAATTAAAATTACTATTTTATATAGGTAGGTTAGGTTAGTTAGTATCAGCAGCAACCTAGCTGTTCTATTCAAAATTAGATAAGCTTAGAACATTTTTTAATTTATTAATTACAATGATTGATAATTTTCGAGATTTTGATAAATTTTGTCAAAATTCGATCTTTAAATGCTTATAAAAAAAACTGTGCCAAGGTATTTTTAATATTTTTCAACTGATATTGTAACAATATGTCAGGAGCCTTGGATTAAATTTTTACACTCTTTGGCCTAACAGATAAAACTTTATTGATATTTATAGAAAAAAAAACTAAAAAAAATTGAAAGAGGTAAATAGCCGTAATACGGTAATGTCCGTAAATAGCTCAAAAAGAATCAAAATATTTTCAAAATTGTATGGTGTATAGGAAATGCTACTTTAAACATTCAGTGAAATTTTCATGTATCTACAGTTATTCGTTTTTGAATAAAACTCATAAAAATTTAATTTGAATTTCTTATAGACATTTTTTTTTTGAAATGGTAGATAATCTTTTAATTAATCTTTATTACATTTTCAAATCTTAGATTTAAAAAAAAAAATTTTTACGAATTCTTAACTCAAAATAATTTGCTAATTTTCGTGATTTTTCCATATTATGTCAATTTTTGAACTTTAAATGCTAATAAAAAAATTGTGACAAATGATTTTAAATATTTTCATCTGCCTTCAAAACTATATACTAGGAGCCAGAGTAAGCCAGTAGTAAATTTCATATATGTCTTACCAGAATGAATTCATTTTTGAAAGAACATTGTATTTGCATACCAATTTTCATAAATTATCTGTAATTTTTAGGTAAAAGTAAGAACTACTTGTATGAAAGACCTTGTATTAAATTGTCTAGCCTTAGCTATATATATTTTATATTTTATAAGTTTTGAACTACAAATTAACTGTCATTTTGACGAAATTTGAACTTTAAATGCTTATAAAAAATAACCATGGTGCCTAAGTAGTGTTTGAAGTATGAAATATCAAATATTTCACAAAAACGTGACACATTGAAATTTTTTTACACAAATAAAAACACAATTTATTTATTTTTTTAACACAATGTTCAGTGTTCTAAATTCTAATGACAGAATTCAGTATTTATACAAAATACATGTATAATATTGTATACCTACTTGTATCATTTAAACATTAAAATATTTAAAAATTTTGAATACCATTTTAAATGTATAATACCAAAGGTTAGGTATACATACAGGTACCATATAGTTATGAAGGTAATTTATGACAATTATATGTAAATATAAAACTTATTTAAAAATAAAACAAAATATATCAAAATACCTACTGAAATATTTCATTTTTTTAAATTTCATGACATTTTCAAACACTATGCATATGTATCGTTAATATTTTAGCTATAATAAAATAACTTATGTATTACATTTTTAAGGTTTTTAACCGGATAAATAATTTTTTATTGACATTTAAATAGAAAAAAAAAATTTAATTATTCAAATACAATCCAAGTGAAGACAGTATAACCAAACATTTAAATAAATTTTCATTTTTTTTTCTCCAATTATTTTTAAAAGCACTGAGAATTTTCAATTTCGACCACCTAAAAGCAAGGCTGGGCATTAACGAGTTAAAAATTAAAATTAAGTTAAAACGTTAAGTTAATTTCAATTAAGTTAATTAACTCGTTACTTTTTTTTTCAAATTAACTTTTAACTTAATAAGTTACTTTTTTTCAAGATTAACGTGTTAGCTTCAAGTTAATTTTATTTCAAAAATATCCAAATTAAGTTAATTTTCTTCTGAAGAATAATGTAAATTTTTTAATGTGTTTTTACTTTGATGTATCATTTTAAATTTCCCCAGTAATTAAAAAAGAAAAACTATCTAATAAACCACATTATGTGTCTGGTATTTTCTATTTTTGCAAATTAGCAAATTTTAACTTTACACTAAGTTAAGTTACTTTTTTTTCAAAGTTAACTTTTAACTTAACGAGTTAACAATAAAAAATACGAGTAACTTTTAACTTAACTAAACTTAATTATTTTAAAATAACTTAACTTAACGAGTTAAAAAAAAACATTAACTTGCCCAGCCTTGCCTAAAAGTACCAACTAGATGCTTATGATCAGAGCATTTTTTCTACCAGAAAATTTGAAAAGTTACAAACATTTTAAAATACCTCAAATAAACGTCTGAAATTATTAGACTGGACAAAATAAAATAAAAATGTAACTAATTTTAAAGTCCCCCCATTGAAAAATCCTGCGGGCGCCACTGCTTTTACTGTCCTAAAAGTTGATGACAGACACAAAAAAAAAAAAACACACAACATTGTAAAATCAATACATTCATCGTTCCACTCAGAATCTAAAATTGGAAACTGAAAATGTCCCTAAACAGCTCAAAATAAGTCAAAATATTTTTAAAAAGTCATGGTGTATAGAAAATACTTATATAAACAACCAGCAAATACTATAGATAAGAATACGGGACAGTGAATGTTAAAAATAGCAACACATTTCGTCCCCCCGAAAACGTATAAGTTGCCTACTTAAAACATTTTACGGCGTTGACTCAAATATTACACCTAATTTCTGATTCAAACAAGTACACAAATTAAAAATAGATTATCATCAAATACTATAGATATGTGTCTGTATTATATTTTGATAATAATGATTTGTTAAAAATTGAAAATTTTAAAATTCCAAATATAATTAATGTTTCTTGTTATTTATATTTACTGACTTTTTATTTGTAAAATTTGATGTTTTATTTCCTTACATTTTACAATGCCATCTCATGTTAATTGTTCATCTTGGAACTGCAATAAAAGGAGTAAAAATAATCCCGAACTAACCTTCCATAAATTTCCAAATTCCAGCAAATGAAAAATAGTATGTATTGTAGTAAAAAATATTTACAAATCAATTGTACCTATTTATTGCATAGTAGTATTACAATATAATATTTAAGTCATTAAGACCAGAGGTAGTATTAAATCTTTTCTCATAATCAAAAAATCTGAAAAATACATTAACACAGTTTTATTTTGAAGACATTTCAAGTTCAAATTTGAACTAAACTAGATATTTTAACAATTTTTGTTATTTTGTTATAATTTAATAGTATTATTTTTGGGTCTTTGATACTTTTAATATCTTTATATCATTGAGTTCAATATTAATACACACACTGACCACTACAGTGACCCATGTTGCCACGTCACACACATCACCTAAATGTATAGCAGAGCAATAATTGTCAACTTTTTTCTATAGTATGCATTTGACACTGCAGCTATGTATAATATTTATTATACATATCTATTGTATTTAAAAAGTATTGGAATGCATAGATACATCATTTATTGGCAGGTATAATCAAATCATAGAGTATTTTTCAACATTTATTTAGCATTACTCTATGAATAAAATACTATAGACATCTTTAGTATTTGATATAATGATATTATGAGAGATCACCTAAATTTATTTGACCATGTTATTTTTGAAAATGTTGACTATATAGTTGTAAATTATGGATTAATCGATGTAAGAACCAAACAGTAATTAATGGGTTTCATACATTTGGATTACAAAAAATAAGAAAAAATTATAGAATTTGCTCAGAACACTTTAAAAGAGAAGATTATATTATTTGGACAGATACTAAAAGGTAAACTAGTATTATTTATATACATATATATAACATAATATGGCATGTACAAAATATATGCCTTCATATATAATATTTTTTTTAATGTATTAAATATTTTAAATACTAAAATATTGCTTTTTATTACTAAGTCCTTATCTTTAACCAATATGTAATGAAATACAATCGAAAAAAAATTAATGGGGCTGTTCCTAATATTCTGAATTAGAGTAAAAACTTATCTTAGGTTATTGAAAGTTGGTTTTCAGTAGTACGTGCTAAGGGAGGAAATAATTCAACTCCTGACTCTACAAAATTCTTTTCAGCAGTACGGATGTGTATGGCTAATCAGTTATTAGATCCATCAAAAGCGGCAAACTGTGAAATAGATAACAAACAGTTTTTAACTAAATGTGATGAATTACTTAAACATAATCCAAAACTTGACTTTAAGTTACAACTTACAACACTTGAAAAGTTCTCAAAAATGGAACCCTGAAGACGATGATGTTCTTAGTGATATGAACATAACATTCATCACACAAAATAGCCATGAAGAAAATGCTATAGCATATGTTGCTGGGTGGAGTGTTTCAAAATTGAATCACACCGAATGTCTTCAAAAGCTTGCAACAAAAGAACCAGAGGTTAATTTGGTATACAGTGAAACCTGACTTAACGGACACCTGTATATAACGGACACCTCTCTTAACGGACAAAATGACCAGGTCCCGGCAAAAAGATAGGCATTCTAATGTATTTTGACCTGTCTATAACGGACTCCTTCTATTACGGACACGGACACTAATATTTAATCCAAAAATTTCATAACGGACAAAAATACATACATACATACACACACACACAGTTGAGGTAATGCACGATCTAATGCACCTATATATTATATCGATAAAACGTTTTCCGGCTCGACAAAAGGACGTGTCGGCGTTATTGAAACAGCGTCGATAAGGAACGCAATTGAACGCAGTGAAAACACGACCAATTACATTATCGCCGATTACGATAACGCTAATTGTGTACCTATTGAATTTATAAAGTCCAAGATATCCAGATATAAATTGCAATACGTATAAATGATGACCATGAGTATCAAACGTTTTTATTCAGTTTCTATCGGTTCGCAATCAGAGTTGTACATTTTTTCCTTAGCAATGCCACCTCCCGTGCCGCGTAAAGCTTTAAATTTAAAACAAAAGGTGGATATTATTCGTTTTAAAGACTCTAACGGAGGTTGGTCTATTCGTAAACTTGCTGACAAATTTGGCATTGGTAAAACGCAAGTGGCCGAAGTTTTAAAGAATAAAGAAGATATTTTACGTCGATACAACGAAAATTCCACAAACGAAAAATCTCGCCGATTCCAGAGGAACGGGCCAGGTGAATTGATTGATAAAATTGTTTTAGAGTGGTTTAACCGTGTAAGAAATAAAAATGTGCCTGTATCTGGACCAATCATTCAAGCAAAAGCATTAGAAGTTGCCCGTGAAATCGAGTGTGATGATTTCAAAGCTTCCAATGGCTGGTTAGAGAGCTTCAAGGTAAGGCATAATATAGTTTTTAAATCGATTTGCGGAGAATCAGCTTCTACAAATCTAACAATTGTTAATGAATGGAAATCGAAAATTTCGGAAATAGTGACAGGGTATGAGCCACAAAACATATTCAATGCTGATGAAACTGGTCTGTTTTACCGAGCATTACCAGACAAAACGTTTTCTTACAAAGGGGAATCATGCTCTGGTGGAAAAATAGCTAAGGAACGTTTAACTGTTCTTCTATGTGTCAGTATGTCCGGAGAAAAACTTAAACCACTCGTCATTGGAAAATCTGTCAAACCAAGATGTTTTAAAGGAATTGATGTTAGTAAACTGGCAGTAGAATGGAAGGCGAATAGTAAAGCATGGATGACTACTCATATAATGACAGACTGGCTTCAACGACTCGATCAGCAAATGAAAACTCAAAACAGAAAAATTTTATTGTTTCTTGACAATGCGACATCACATGCACATCTATCTTTGGACAACGTAACACTTATTTTTTTTCCTCCAAATATAACATCAACTTCTCAACCTTTAGACCAAGGAATAATAAAAAATTTCAAAGTTTTTTACCGCAAGTTCGCACTACAACACATTATTGCGAATCTGGAGGACGCTCAAAATGCACACGACCTGGCAAAGCAAATTGATGTTTTAAAAGCGATTACATGGGTGAAAAAAGCGTGGACACAAATTTCTTCATTAACAATCACAAATTGTTTCAAAAAAGCAGATTTTCCGTCCAGTGAACCTCCAGAAATCGAAAATGAAGTGAATGGGAATGAGTTGATTGAATTAATGGAGCTTCTTCCGTTGCCTAGAAACGACGATTTTGCCACAATAGACAGTAATTTGTCTACAGAATGTAGCTCAGATGATATAGCTATAATTTTAGATGACATTCGAACTGAATTCGTGGAATCCGTGGAATCCGATGATGAGCAACAAGCTGAAAATTCAGAAAATTCTGAAATTAAGACGTTTTCAAATTATTCAGAAGCTCTTGAACAACTCATTCGTCTGAAAGAATTTTATTTAAATAAAGGTGATGAAAAGGGATTTTCATATGTGAGCGAATTAATTATCCATCACGAGTTGGAAATGACCAAATCGAAGTTCAAAAAACAAACATCAATTGAATCATTTTTTAAGAAATAATTAATAAATTTATACAAATACATACATACATAATTGTACATATAATAAATAATTAAAATAATAATAATTATAATACATATTAATAAAGATTATACTTAATACATATTATAAAATATAAAACAATACAAATGTACGTAAAAATTTTAATTTTTAAAACATTGAAACCTGTCTACAACGGACACCTGTCTATAACGGACAATTATTTTGGTCCCGTGACTGTCCGTTATATACAGGTTTCACTGTATATTCATATTTCAATGAAACAGTATGATGGTGCTAAATTGTTGTACCCACTTCAACCAACATTAGTTTATGTCCAAAAAGTTGTCTGAATTTTTAACAATAATATTAACAAATTAATTTCATATAGTTGGGTAAATATAAAATTGAGAATGATCAATTTAATGAATAAATTTTTGTTTAATACATTAGACATGTGTTTAGAATGTCAATATTTGTTAGTTGATAAAATTTTAAATGTCACAATTAACTTTTTCCTTAAAAAAGAAAATATTACAAAGATGTACAAAACAAAAAGTTAAAAAAAATAGTACATATGTAAATAATAATCATTTTAATTATACAATATTATACTATTAATGAATGAGTTAACTATTATCAAAATAAATTTTTTTTTTTTATTTCCTATTTAACTGTTGACTGTTGTACCTATTGTTTTAAAACTTTTACTATAAAAAATTTAAAAATCTGAATAAGCATTGAAGTAATGAAGTCCAGGATTATTAAAGTTTTAATTCAAAAATATGATAACAGTTTTTTTCTTATCATATGTCGGCTACATCCAAGGATTTGTCATATAGGCAACCACTATGATTTTGGGGGGATATATCGCAAGCATTTTAACATTCACTGTCCCGTATTCTTATCTATAGTATTTGCAACCAGTGAAAATTTCATGTAAATATAAGGTAATTTGTTTTAGAGTAAGAAAAAAGTAGGTAAGTGGATGTCCCTCTGCTGTAAAGTAGATTACAAGTCAATGTATAATGGTTTGTATTAAAATTGAATTCAATGGTATAATATCATTGTATAAGAAAAACGATTCTGATTGGAGACGGTTTGTCAGCCTATGATATTAGTATATTACTTACTTGAATTGATATTATAATATTATAATATTATTATTTTTTATTCGTTGCTATGGTGATAAACAGTGTGTTAGAAAACAGTTCGAAACAAAATAATAAAAATATGTTAAAAATGTTATAGTGTTCCTATATAAAATGCGAATATAAACAACCAGTGAATATGTCATGTATTATGATACAATGTATGATGCAATGTTATGTACCTATTCGATAATTTGTTTTAGAGTTACACCAAAACACAAAATCGATTTTGTCTAAAACCGATTTTGAGTAAATGTTCCCAGTTTTCCTTTATTTTTATGTTTTTTTTCCCGGCACTTTTGAAAAATATTCGGAATTTTAAACTTCCCGAATGTCACTAGATGCAACTATAGTTAAATATTGATTTTCCCGTTGAACAAAATATTGTTGAAGAAAATCGAATTGGTTTTGCTGCCCCAAACATAAAAAAATAAAAAAAAAAAACACAAATCATTGTAAAATCAATACATTCATCGTTTCACTCAGAATCTAAAAATTAAAAACGTTACACCTTCCTTAAAATGATAATTTAATATAATAACAAATCCAAATGTACAAATTTTTTTCTTATGAGTAAAAATGGCATTAATTAAATCATCAGCCCATGGCCCATGAGGACAAATTACAATATAAAACAATAGATATTAAGAAACACGTACGACGTACCTATCACGATAGCGTGACAATGCGACGGCGAAGTTGATAATAAATATTGAGGACTGAGGTAATTACGAACGGCGATACGTGTCTCATAGCATACATAGTAAGCCCAACTCACATTAGCATTCCCCCTGTACCCGCTCACCCATGTTTGCGAGACGTTGCGTCGTAACGTCTATTAGATTTAGATATATGTAATACCATATTTTGAATGACCCGTATCGCCAACTCGTACCGTATCGCGCGCTTTTAATATAATTTAAGAATTCTATAACTGTACAACCATAGGCGCAAATAGTGTTTGAGATTTGGGGGGGCTGAAACTCAGGTTTAGATTGAACACTTTATTGACACTTATATTAAAAAAAAATTTTCCTTACTACGTTCAGATTGTTTAGTACCAATCAAAATCAACAATTTACAATAGTTAAATATGTATGTTTTAATCACAACAAATTATTAAAAAATAAATTACATTAGTTTTATTCTTCTTTCTGTTTTAGAAAATTCGTTTAAAATATCTTCAACGTCTACAACAATATCTTTTTCTATATTAAGTATACCTAATTCATTGAACCGGTTTTGAGACATAGTAGACCTCAAATATGTATTGATCCTTCGCATTGCCGAAAATGATCTCTCACAAGTGGATGAACTGACCGGTAATGTGATTGCTACTTGAACGAGTTTAAATAAATTTGGAAAAACTTGTTGTGTAAGATGTTCCTTAAAATATTCATATTCTGTGTTTCCATTTAAAATATTTTTAAATACAGTCATTTCACACTTTAAATCTTCAGTATTTACTTTTAAAACATCCTAAATAAAATAATAGTCAATTATTATAAATACTACATTTAAAATATATTGAATTAATTACCTTATAATGGTCAATTAAAAATGAGCTTCCTTCAAAATCCATTTTCATTAAATTTTCAATAGATGTAGCAATCTGAAAACTTTCAGCTGAAAATCTTTTTTTCATATTAATAATAATTACATCCAGAATGGGAAAAAAAGCATTTACTCGTATTTTCCAGTATGACTTTACATCCTTTGTTCTAATAAGATCATCATCGGATCCTGTTACTGTAGTCACATCAAAATCTTGGAGATATCTAGGCTCTTTTCTACTTCTCTTTAATTCTTCTAAAAATTATAAAA